ATAATTTTTAAAAAATCTATTTTTTCTTTTTTTTAATACATTTTATAAAGATCTTTTTTTTCTAATTATTTTATAAAAATCTTTTAACTTTTTTTAAAATTTTTTTTTTTAAAACATGACATCTTCCGTTGCGAAAGGACGTGCGCTAGAAATAGCAGTTGTCAACAAATTGAGGGATGCGGGCATTAAGTGCGAACATAATGGGTGAGTGTTTTTCACTGAGTTATTTTGTTGTGTTCTTTGATGATAATGACACATTATACTCATTTTTATTGTTTATTGTTTATTGTTTATCTATTATACAGAGGGCCGGGCGACATGTGAATTGATATTAAAGGAGTTTCCTGCGGCATCCCATTTGTTATACAATGTAAGAATTGGACTCGAAATAATAGATATTATATCAATTATATATGCGAATCACATTAATTAAGATAACTTTCAATTAATTAATATCAAATATTTGCAGGTCGTCCGGCGGTGTACTAATTGGAGGGTTTCTCCTGAGGCAGGCAAAGGAGACGATCGATGTCGTGGTGGGCCGATCGAAAGAAGATGGTTTCACGCATGGTGCGTGCACCGCAGCTAATACGTCGGTTTCTCACGGACGTGACTGATATTGTAGAGGATTTATTAACTATAGTCGCTGATCGACTAGAGGATAAAATCCGTGCTTATAGATTTTTTCTTTTTTATTTTTATTTATTTTATTTAATTTTTTATTTTTACTTTTTTGTATATAATTGTTTTTTAATCGTAAGTCTTCGTCCTGGGAACACTATCGTATATCGACGTTTTACCCGCTTATTGTAATTATTTCTTGTATATAGGACGTTCTCTCCTGTTATATAAAACTCCCACTCTAAGTGCACCCCGTGACTTTCACGTGATCGTTGTCCAATAAAAATTGTGCGACGCTATTAAATTAAAAAAATGGATAAAGAATTAAATTTTATACTTAGCAAATAATAATAAAGAATATAAAGAATTAAATTTATTATTAGTAAAAGGTAAAGAATTGAATTTATTAGTATGACAGAATTATTTTGTAAGAGGTGTTCATTTTTATTAAGTGAGTGACAGGGAAACAAAGAATTCTTTTTTTTTAAATAGATACAAAGGTTATTAAAACAAAAGTACAAGAATGTAGACAAAGAAGCTTATGTAGTTGAAATTATTATAAATAAGTCATGAATCAAGAATTTTATTTAATAACTAAACTCTTGTAACCAACTTTAAAAATATAACTTCTATTATAAATTAACCTTATCATTAATAAATTAAAAATAATATATATTCTTTACATACACAACCATCTAATTTTTGCACTCATTCATCTCATTAAATATTTTATTCTTTTATTGCTTCTAAATAAAATGCTTCCAAAAAGAGTAACTTTATCTAATTCTCAAAAATATGAATTTTATTTATTCTAGTCAACAAATAAAATTGGATAATTCTCTTGATAGATATATTAGTTTGAAAACCGTAAATACAATGAGGCAAACCATAATAGAATCTTATCCTAATTAATAATTATATAAAATTTTTTTTTAGTGATAATGATGTTATAATTAATTAATAAATTTTTATTTTTATGCAAAAATTTTTATTCTTTATTGGTGTCATGTGCAACCAATGAAATGCTTTGTTTCTCTAAGTGCACACTCCCTCTAAGTGCACGCTATCACTCATTCCCAAGGGGGGTGCACTTAGAGGGGGTTGACTGTATCACTTTGTATCACAATAAATTTCCGCTATGCTAATTACTAAACACTCTGGTATTATTCCTTTGGATTATGAAGAACAAATTGGAGGTTAATATTTTCTGAGCTTGTAACTTTGGATACCTTAACTTGGAAATGTTTCCATACGAAAAAGATCATGATAGTAAAGGTGGTGGTGGTAAGATGAAGGAGCAAGCATAGAAAATATTTCACTGTTGGATGACTAATGATTACCGAACCTCACAAAATTGTGTTTCCGACAGACTAGGCTTGCACACACGATCCAGAATTATCAACGGAAATATCACTAGTGTTAAAATATATGATGCTTTTGAATGTATTAACCTATCGTGTGTTTCATTTAAATGTGGCTACACTATAAAGCCTTGTTGATTCTCATTCAGCAACTATTGCATCAAGTTTGCTCTCAACTTCTCAACCCACTTTATCGCCCTTCTCAAGAACCGTACACCTACTACACAAACCATTAATACTAGCCAATATATATATACGACAATACTTCTTCAATATTGGAAAGATCTAATGGGAATCTGAGGTTTAACGAAGTAGTTGGTAATTAATTTTGCCACTTGTTAAGTTCAAATGAGGTGCTAAAATTCTAATGTAAAGAATAGATGTTCAACTCTATCTTTTTTAAAGAAAACTGGACGAGTATTTGTTTAATATGACAGTATTTCATTCCGAGTACGTATATAAATTGTGTACATTTAGAAATTTATACTGAAAAAACTTTAATTCAAGATTCCAGATAAAATTTTATTATTAAATATAAAAAAATTTTTCTTACAAATTCATATAAATATAAAACTTGCATAATTGTATGACACTTAAATTTCACTGTTCTACACCAAATTAGCATATCATACTGTTCAAATGACACAATATATGCTCATTAATATGCCCTTCTATCTTCTCCATCAACCACCACCGATAATTGCGTGATATCTGATTGTTGTTGCTCTTGTCCTTGTGTTGTTGACTGTAAATGTGGATAATGTTGTGGCAAACGTCTTGGATCTTTTTCCTTAGGAGGTCTAAGTTTTTCTATGGGCATTGTTCCCGTGTTACCTGGTGATACAAGAGCTGCTGCTCTCTGTATTTGTGGCGGAACTTGAATATTTCCAATTGTACTTGCACGAGGTCTCAGTGATCCTAAACCTGATTTAGGTGTTAACGTTGATATATTGGAAGATTGTTGTGTTGATAGTATTTGAGCAGAAGATATGGGTGTAGCAATGGAGTTGGATGAAATTGTTACAGTAGGGATGTCATGAGTTATAATTACTGGGTTTTTATTTAATACTTTTGTTGGAGAACAATTTGATGTTTTATATTGTGAATTTGTAGATAACGATGTTAAGTGTGTGTTGGTGGTAGATTGAGAATTTGGTGATTGTGTAGAAGAGGCACAAACTTTATTTGGAGATTTAAGTTGCATAGGAGGAGTGAATTTACCGGTTAATTTTTCTCCTGTAATAAATGGGTGTAGCTTAGCTTGTTGAGGTGACCAACGCTCAATTGGATTCAAGTTTAACAGTCCTTGAACAAAATCAATGAAAGCCAATCTATTTTGCATTTCTTTTGGTAAGGAGATTTTTATAAACTTAATTAACAATTTCAACATGAACGAGTATTTAAAAAAAGATAGGGAGATATAAAAAGAATATTACCTTTTTCGACATCTTTTTGAGATAATCCTTTTCTTAAAATTGGATAAGATTTAATGATTTCTGGTAAAGTTGTTGCTGAAA